GAAATTAAAATGCCTTGCATGTTTGCCTCGAACCATAATCGTTTCTTAACTTTTGATGTTTTCTGGTCTGCAACTCTGGCATCCTTTGGAGACATCAATGTTAGCGACCAAAATGTTTTCATCAATTAATTCAGTTAATAATAATGTGCGAATCAAGGTGTATAATAACATCATGACTAACAATTGTGAACAATGTATTAAAATTGCAATTGCCGTTTTACTTGTACAAATTGTACCATAGGTGGTTTCATAGCATTACTCACTGTGATAATTACTGTGCGTCGAGAGATTTTTTTTATAAAGATAAATTTATTTTATTTCTACTGTTTTTGTTCCTTGCATGGTAAATGCAAGTTAGGCGCACAATGAATTAATCAGTGCACTTGCTTCTTGGCCTGAGGTAAAATAAATGCACCTGAGTTTCAATTATTCAGTTTAGAGAAAAATAAACATTTTACTGAATCATAAAAGCTTGGGAGAGGGATTTTCCTCATGTTAATCATGAGGCCCATTAAAAAAATAATTGGGCAGCAGGGATATCATGTGAAGACATCCCTAGTATTAATGGTAATAGGCTACAAAGCACTAGCAGATTTCATGGCACTTGTCCATTTAGCACCATCCTACCCAGTAACACATCTAAGATACTTCCAAGCTTCACTGAAAAAGTTTCCATTGGAAAAAATGGCAGATTAATGTGCCTTGCACTGGAAAATAATGCCTTGGGATGTAAAGTGCATCTCCTCCATCTGGTGGAGTCTCAGATCGTCAGACGCTTTTTGCTGTGAGAGTCCCCATTTACGTTTTTCTGATAAGTGGTCAGTCATCAGAAGTGTCTTCAATTAACTGTGAGACCTGTTTCACTTGATAAGTGTTGTGAGAATGCTTGTCAAGTCACTTGTCAAGACCTTGCCTTCCAGAAGAATTGTTTTTAAACATAATATCAACCCTAAAAGCATCAAGGAGTGAGCAGGCCCATCAAAATTTCAATTCACAACTCTCTGCGTCCCAAGTTTGCTATTCAACTGATTTAGCTATTATTTTCAGCAGAGCAGGACAAAGGGAAATTACTATATGCCCATCAATCATATAGCTCACTGAATTATTTGTTATTCAATATTAAAAAGTTTCAGAAGATAATTTAACAAATACTGGGCATTCTCTTGGTGCGAGTGCTCTTAAAAGTACTGTAGTCTTAACTATTAATTCATCAATCCAGCACTTTAAATTATAAATGAAACAATAGACTCTCCCAAAGCAAATTACCATCAAACATTGCCAGAACTGAAATACAGTAATGCCTCCCTCTAAATAAAATGTGGAGCTTTGAGTTCAAACTTTTCTTTTAATATCTAGGTGAAAAGTCGAAACGTTTAAAAATGATTTTATACAAAAAAAACAATGCTTAGTATGCCAACCAGTTTCCGTACTGACGTAGCTGAACACCCTGACCAGCTCAAATGTAATCATCCTTTATTCCAGCCTATTTCTGTTGATTTATAAATAATTAAACAGTAAGTTTCTGTTAAGAGACATTGGAGAAATTGGTTAAGGGATTGAGGATGCTGAATAAGTATAAGCATATTGACGTTTAAAACAAAATATTACAGTACTATAGCACCTGGTCTTAATGGCTGCATAAAACCTTAACCTCCGCATCTCTGTTGAATTTGACTCACAAAAGAACAAACATATTAGATAGAGTAGTTTGTAAACTAAATAGTTATGCTTTTCTCTCAACCCAATAAGTTTATCTATTGAGGAGCTCAGCCATACAGAGCAGAAAGGCTACAAGCCTCAATCTCTTTTTTATTGAGGTACCGGAGTCCAGACAGAGCACTCCTGACAACTCGCCTCAGTGCTCCAGGTTTACTAAGGGCAAAATCAGCCAGGATTCCAGTTCCTGTAAAACCGCTCCTTAAAAACTGGAACTCTAAGATGTCTCAAGAACATGATAAGACACACACCAAGTGCAAGGATCATCAATATTATGTTGCACTTTTCAATACTTCAAATGCAAGGATTATTATTATTCAAGCGCATCCCTTAATTTTGACTCATTTTTTCCAATAAGTGCATTGCAATAATACAATGATACGTTTTTATATATAGTTCCCAAAGGAACTATATATGCTGAGCAATTGAAATTTCTAGGTTAAATACATTTCAGGAAAGTACCAGCATTCAAGCAAGTGAATCATATAGAAGGGAGATGGCTTGCTGGTGTAAATGGCCTGTTCTCATTCCATGGGTTTCTTCTGTTTTTATTAGATGTGGTATTATTTGCAGTCACGATTACCTTTTACCAATATCAATTTTGAGTATACAGGCAAACCAAAGAGTTTTTCCAGCCTACGATGTAATATTGAACATATCAAATTCAAAGCTTGAATGCAAGCAAGTATGATAATTTTCAATCCATCACTTCAGGCAAAAAATCTTCTCCGAGAGTGACTTTTAATCAATTTCAACTGATTTAACTCCAACAGTTGTCTTCTCTCATCACCTACAAATACATCCAGCAAGGGAATTGAGTCTATAGATTCTTCAGCTGTCACTGAGTTGAAATTCTGGCTCGCAGCTTTGATCATGTGGGCTATTGATAGGATTTCCCCATTATAATCCCCCTAAGTGTCAAATGATGCAAATTGTTGTTGTAACAAGCAATCCAGGACGCTCGCTACCCAGTGTGAAGGGCGCTACATGAATGCAAATTGTTGATGTAACGGGGACCACAAATCCAGTCCACAACTGTGCATAGAAGAAAGATTCCAGGGCTCAATATTTATCCATGACTTTGAATATAAATATGCCGAAGGAGAAGAAAACAAGTCTCCTTTGTATTTCATCCTACTTTTAACAAATTATGTTACGTTTAGAATAATTACTTCATAATCTGTGACTAGCTCCATTCTCTAAATTTTCTCGCTTACAACAGACTTTTTCGAATAACTGTGATAAGTTGATGATCAATTGCAAAAATAAATGCACTGAAAAATTACTTCTAAAAATCTAGAAAAGTATTTTCTCACAATCAATAATACAATCATGTATCTAACAATAATTTAAAAACTACTACTAAAATTTAAGCAATATTTCAAAAAAAATCTGTCTCGAAAAGGATTTAGACTAATTTGTTTATTGACTTTGCAAAATATACTTTCTGTCCCACCGAGAATACTGTGCTTGATATAAATCAAACTACTCTACATGACATAGGGGAGCTAGTGAGATAGATTCAGAAGATGCTATTTGTTCTATTCACTGGTCTCGGGGGTAATTTTTCTGAAAGGAAAATGTTGTTACAAAGTAACGGATATGTTGAGTGTATTATGGCCTTGTGGCTAACAAATGCGCAGATAGTTATTTATCAAAGAAATGCCCAATGTCTAGTAACAAAGAAAGGGCTGTCGTTAGTTAGTAACCCAGGCAAGGTGACACTGTCACTGGTGATCGGTGAGGATCTGAAGCAGTTCCGATTCACTGACACTGATTCGAAGGGATGGTCCAAAAACTAATTTCTCACCAAACCCATGCAGGTGGCCATCTGTAAAGGCGAGGACAAGCAGCTTCAATTGTCCTGCAATTGAGGAGAATAACCGGTACATGTTTTACTATCGAACAGTATATCCAACCTGAGAAAGGCACAATTGCAGCTCGTCCAATTTTTCGGACGAATTCACTGATATGTGTGTGATATCAGGAGAATTTCTGTTGACTGAAAATCCGCAAAAAAAAGTTCGTATAAAATCCTCCTTGATTAAAGTCTAATTATATGGTGACGATATTCACAAAAATCACGCTCTTGAGTCGGTGTTCATTGAATGACTCGCTAAAATCTGTTAAGGCACCTATGGCGCATAATAAATTCAAAGTCTGTCCGTAGCAAGGAAACTCATCAGGTACATAATCGCACATAAAAATAAACCAAGAGGCTCAAGGCCAATTAAGCGTATAACATTTAAATTACGGTGACTTATTTAGCCCGCATAAGTAGCGGCGCCCTGTTCCGGCAGCCGAACCCGTGTAAGGCAGCCTCCGATTGTTGCCAGGACAACAAGAACATTTTGTTAGGGCTTCACCTGCTTTCTCCTGCGCTGCAACAGCAGCTCGTGATGTAACCATGGTTAAGTGCCATATATGCTGATGATTTTAATGGCAGCTCAAAGTTAGACAGGCTTTCCCAGCTGGTTATGCAACGCTGTTATAATACTGCCGGAATCCAGCAAAAAAAAATTTCTACTGCTCCTTGCATGATGGGAGGAATGCCTCGTGCGTACGGTCAGATGATACGAGTTTGCTGAAGAGGTAAAGGGCAGTGCTAAGGCTGGCAAGAAATATCAACAACAACTTGCATCCCAAGGTACTGAAACTATACAAATACAACCGAACGAACAGTTGCTCTTCAAAGGTGATAAGGTTCCATGATCAACAAACCTCCCCCAACGCCGAATCTTCTTCAACACTAAGGATTCTCAACTTTATATAAAAAAAATTCCTGAAATTAATAATACATTTATCCCATTTTATTCATCTATTATTTCTCATCTACTGGTGCCCGTTATGCTAAAGAATATATTCAAATTGCAACATTATCAGCGAAATTAAGACTGCTGTACATTTACTACACCGTGTAAGATGTTTTGGGGGGAAATGTCATCATATTCTACTGCAGAATGAAATTATGTTATGAAAGGTTTAACTATTAAGAATCGATAGGATGGAAGCAATGGATTTACAAGCTACAGTATGTGGGAGTAAATTGTAGAGTGAGTAACCATGATTAATTGGTCCAGAAAGGAATATTGCTTCCGTAATTTAGAAATGTAATAATCTGGATTAATTTGCGTTGTTGCAGATGGTTTCTCTTCGAATTTGATTTTGTATTCTCTAGGTGGTCATTAAGCAAGAAAAATACTAGAAGTGATCACAATAAATTCCGTGCATTTTTATATCTAGCAAACTTCTGGTTTAATATATGAGATGATTAAGAGACTGAGTTATGAGATCAGGCGTTTTATCTAAAAGATGAGGAGAATACAATGTGTAAATTATGTTTATGGCATTTTTAACTTTAATTATCTTATACACGTCAGAATATCAAGTTTGTATTCTACTGAAGGGTGAAATTGTGTTGTGTTTGTTAGAGAGCAATTTCTGTTCAGAAGATTTCTGGTTGTAGTCAGAAATGAGGAGGGTTGACTTGTTCCAATCTCTCTTCCCCCTTCCCACTCCTCCAGGAAGTGTCTGTACTATTTTCAATGGTCAGGAAGTTTCTGATTATAACTTGTCAAACACAATTTATCTAGCCTTAATGGGCCGAATGGCCTCCTTCTGCACTGTAGATTTCTATATTTCTACTTAACATCTGTGCACTGGATATTATGGGAACAGAAGTACATTTTAGACCTTACTTCGTGCAAAATTAAGTGGCTGAAGGGGTTTCATTTTTTAAGTCCCACTGCACAAAATTAAACGCTGATTTAAACGTTTTCGAATCAGATTTCGGGGAGTGTGGGGAAGAAATATTGTAGCATTAAATTGAATCGCTTGCTTAAGGAGGAAATATCATTGCCCTTTCTCCCAATAGCTCTGGCAAACCATATGAGTTTTCACTTTCTATCAGGTAATTACTGTGTACACAGAAAACAATCCACTTCACGACTAGGTATGCAAAGAGAAAACATTGGAGAAATAATGTGTTACTAACAAGATTGATAAAATCGCATAGCATACTTTTAAATACAGACAATTTGAGGGTAAATGAACTGCAATGAAAGAAGAAAATGTATTGACCATTCGTGTCTGTGCTGTTTTTCCCCCTTGACAAAGTAGACTTTCATATAGGACAGACGTCTCCAGTAAAATAGAAGGATTTATACATCCCTTCGTCGAAAATCCCCAACTGCTCGTTATATATGTACATAATTAAGTTAGGCAGTCATTTGTCATCATCTTTCCTCGTTAGTCGGCCAACTAATGAATCCAAATATCAAGTAACAGCAGTGGATGTGCAAATAAGCAGAAGCAAAGGCAAAATTAAAGAGATATTCAACCTCTTTTGAAAAATAGTTACAGTCACTTGTTATTCAAAAATGAAAACCTCTATCAAGTTCTCTGAGCCATCGCCTGCTGAATGATGGAGAAATCAATGACAAACAATATACCTGGGTTCCAATTGCTTCGCCTTGGGGCAATGGCAACAATAAATATGCACCTTTGTTTCAGTGGGCAACCATTTGCAAACTTGAGGCTCATAAAACAAATACCTATTTTACATCAAGCGAATAATTCATTGAGTGAAAGGATAAAATATTCCCAACTCGGTTAAACCAAAATGATGTCTTACTCCTCTTTGGAGAACTCTTCTCCTTTACTTCTCCATTCACTTCTTGCATTGTCGACTGTGATTTGTCACCACTTACCTGTGTTGTCCACCTATCTAAGGGGATATGTGGTACCCACCAAATTTATAGTGCTTTATAACGTATGCCTATGGTGTGAGTTATACTGGTCTTGAAATCATCTCGTCCACATGGAGTTATAGGGGCTTTCCACTATGATCCCCATTTATTGCTGCGGTAAACCTGGCAGGAAACTGCTCCTAAAACCATTGTGATTCACCAACAAATAAAATCATATCAAAGGCTTCGTGATGCTGAACACCCCTGGAGAGACTGTAAAAGTCTGTGAAATATTGTATTTTAATTTAAATGTATCGCATCTTAATTATCTGAACGTGGTTCCCAGAGGCAGCATTCCTGCTGTTAAATAAATTGTCAAAAAGCAAAACATCTTACTTTTTTAATTGCTCTCCTCCATCTTGATCTTTCTATGGTGCTGGTGCATATTATATCTTCATCCCTGAAATACAAACACAGTACGGTTTTCCCATCATCAGAATTATTTAGCGCAAGTTGAGAGTACCGATGTGAAGCACGATTTTCAAACAAAAAGTCAAATCAGCAACATTTAACATCACCAGGTTAACATGATTCAGTGTTAACACTTGTGGTACAAGATCTTTAAATTCTAATCCTCTTCTTATTATTGAGAGAAAAAAAATATTGAAATGATCTAGTACCACAAAATAAGATTTTATTTCAAAGTTTTGTTGTTCATGAGGTTTCTTAAATCATATTTAGATTTCAAGCCAAACTAGTGTTGCATTCAAATACCATGGGGGGGTATTGTGATATAAGATTCCACAGTAAAGAAAAAAACAGATCTGTCGTGCACACAGAGCTGGGTTCCTTGAGGCATGAAACAGGATTTAGAAAAGCCAAAGCCCATTCATTGCGGTACAGAAATAAATATTGATTTCGAGCCACAATTATTCAATAACTTAGGAAGGGAAAAAAATATTTTTATTCTAAAATAATCTTATTATCACTCTTCACTCAGTAAGCAAGATCTTAGAGGTAAAGTAAAGCTCCCTTATATAGGAGCTATATAACCACTATATTTGTTGTTATTAACCTGGACCTGAGAAGACCAACCCTTACTACACTCGTGTTGAGATATTCCAGCCTGGTCTAGATTCACTTTACTTTCTTACGTTTCAGCACAAATTGTCGAAGCCATTTTTTTTTCGGTAGTTCTAAAAGAACTTGCGAAAAAAGAAACAAAAGGGATCACAAAATAAAAATTGCATTTAAAAATGTGCCAAACTCTGCATACTCTGAAATAATGGTAAATAATCCTTGTATTTGACATAACACCTTATCACGTTGTTGAGGCGTCTCAAATCGCTTCACAGAATATTTTGTAAAGTGGATTTACTGTGTATTTCGTGGGCGAAACACGGCAGCTAATTGCTTGAGCTGAGAAAACAATATGAATGTGGGCACAGGTGGTATTTTTAGCCCTAGATCTTTTTTCATTTTTCTCACCAGCTATCCTTTAACCACTCTGATTGAAATTGCCAATTTGTGCTGAACACAGTAGTAGGCAATCTGTGATTTAATTCAACCCACAAGCAACTAGGCTGAGAGTGGCCCAACTCATTTCCTCTAGGATCCGTACAGCTAATGTAAGGGCAGAGATAATCACTCCTTCATTCCGGGCTTAATCTGATCAAGAATCGCACTCAAAATATTAATCAACCTCCCACGAACGTCCAGTGTTTTCTGTTTTCAGATTCTAGCGTTTAATTTTTTTTTAATCGTCACTCCCTACGTGAAAGAACCGCATAACTCTTTGCTAACCCGAGTTCGCTTAAGAGCATCTTCAGAACTACAGCTAGAAGCTGCTGATAGGCTTCATTGTCAACTTGTTATAAACTAAATTCAATGGTTAGGTCTGAGAGTCTGTCATCTTACAAATTCTCCTTTCTATCAATCCATCATGTAGAGGCACAACCAGGGAATGTTTTGCTTTTGTGGGTACACGGTCGTAAGCCTAGATAGAATGGGTCGTGTTCCAACTGACCTCCCGTAGCGAACCCTACTGTTTCTGACCCAGCTCCACAGAATTCAGAGCATTAAGATGCCATGTCGCACGTGGGACATATCCTACAAAGAAAGGCTGTAGTACAAATCTTACACTTGAAAGTGCTGGTGGCTCTGTACTATATTATTCGGAAAGCAACTGGGGAAGTGTGGCATGTGATGAAGCATGGTATTAGAGTGACAAATCTTTGTGCTCAGCTCTCAGAACCTGGAAAACCTTTGCCTATCATTCTGCTCAAATCGACAAAAAAAAAACAGCTCTGTCGCTAAACTTCTGAATCACAGGGAGTGAAATGTATTCACTGTAATTTGACTTTATTCTGTCCTGATCTCAACACCTCTTCCTGGAATCCTATTCCAGTTGTTAATTACCCTCTTAATCTATAAAACATACTGTGAATTTGATGGATCTGCAAAGTCATAAGCGAAACACTTGAATTTTCTAGTTTCACAAGATACACTGTACATCGCAAAAACTTCAGAACGGTTGCGTTTTGGAGATCTGAGGCGAGGGAGGGAATGAGTGAGTGCATTTTGAAAAGAAAGAGTGAGTGAATTGTGTCTGGAGTGTTTCAGGTCATATTTTGACAGAAAGAGTGATACTTAGATAAACTGCATTTTAAGAGGATGTTACTGGGAAATTGATTTTTCTGTGATGTTCACAAATGGAATGAGGAACTCAATAGAAACTTATTTCGCTTGTGACTCTTAATAACCGTGAAATAATCTTTCCTATTTTGTGGAGCAGGTTTAAAATCCAGGTCCCAGAGCTGATAAGATATTTATAATTTATCAATTTGTGCACCCCCCAAGAAGAATTGTATCTCCAAAAGAAAATGTTTAGGCTCAAGCAAGTTAGCTAACATTCGATTCTCAATCCCACTGCAATTCAGTCTTCCCAGAGTCAATATTTATTCCTTAGAACTGCAGGAACAATGCTACCAATCACTTTCCTGGGGCTGGAAACTGCAGCAAAAAAAAGTACCTATTACTTTTCATTCCTACCAATTATTTCTTTACTACTCTAGATGGCAATGACCCCATGCAGAGGCAAAGTTTTACTCGTGCCAGTGAATCTCTGGTACCTAAGCAATTTTTTCTTCAAGCACGAGATTAAACAGCGAGCATCAGCAAGCTATTTGACTGAAAGGACACAATCGCAGATGAGCCCCATTATCAAATTCAAGAACTAGGAGTGCATGCAAAAGTGAATGGGAAATTTAGGAGATTTCTTCTTAGCAATAGAGCGTTAGGCACGTGGACGAGACTGACAAAAACAATTACAAAAAGGTTTTTGAAACTTATGAGGCAGTAGGCGAATGCAGTCGTGTTGCACTGTACAATAAGCCACTTTGTTGCCTAAAATACAAGGCTATTACATTAAAAATATTGTATAAAAAAGAGACTAAGCAAACAGATGCATGAGAAATAAGATTCATGGTAGCAAAGCACACATCTCTTCTCTTTGAATTGCAAGGCACATGCTTGTGAGTTATACATACATCATTTCTTTTCTTCCAGAGGTCTTGCGGCTGGCTTCATTAGGCTCCAGATCCATTTTCAGCTCATCTTGGGAACTGCAGCTGCAACTGCTACTTTGACTACAACAGGTGCTTTGCTCTTGGGAATCCTGGTGGGAGCTGTACCAAGTAGAGCGAGATTCACATTCGCTGTCCACGGTGTAGCTGTGCACAGCTTCGCTCTCACTTTCTTCAGAGTAAGTTAGCTGGGAATTGGCACGGCTCAGGGTGGTTGATGAGCATGGCCTGCTTTCCACAGAGGCACTGTGGAAACCATAAATACATCGTCCACGTCATATTAAAAACAACGCAAAAGTGTGCATTGCAAAAGCTTTCTCCAGTAACTTTCTCAAAACCATAGCACCTACAACGTTTATTCTTTCAAAGAGCTCCTTCCTCGTTCATTTATTTGGGCACACAAGCCTAATTTCACCCACAAATATACAGTCAATTCACTTTACAGCATATTCTGTGAAGCACTTTGAGACGTCGAGAAGATTTGAAAAGCGCTATATCAAATGCAAGGATTATTATTTTTGTATTATAATAGGATAACCATGATGTCAGTTCCCATGTGGCATAAAGATCACAATATTTCTCTTCAGCTTACCGCAGTCTGAAGAAAATATGAGACCCAGGAGTACCATGAAATAGGAATACAATTTGTCTGGTGGCACGCTTGCTTTTTAAGAAAGATTATAAACAGTAAAGTATTTCGCACAAATTTGGATTCTAAGTCTTAGAATAATGTCAGTGAAATGTCACAACTATAAACTTATCTAAATTGATGGAAATGGTGACAATAACAAATGTGTATTACAGAATGCACAGACACAAAAGTACCATTTACTACACTAGACAAGCTAAACAATAGCAACAACAAATTATATTTGTGTAGCGCCTTTCACGTCGGAAGGACATCCCAAGCAGTACAAATATCTCAACTACTTTGATTATTGACTGGTACCATGTGCCATTAAGATTCTGGTACCAATTCATTTTGCAGAAACACTTGTTAACTGCTCGAACATTTTATTTTTTTAGTGTTGAATCCCAATAGAGTGTACAATATTGGAACCTTCACTTAGGATTGGGTATCCATTATAGTATTTATCCCACATGTAATTGAATACTAAAAAAAATCCTATCTTAAATAACAAATAACCTATTTATTCCACACAGTTAGCAATAATTTAACACCTTAGGTAGTGGCTTCAGGAATCGAATCGACATGTCAGCTTCCAGTACAATCAAAGTTTTTTTTAATAAAAAAAACTGCGATTTTAGAAGAAATTTGAAACTTTCGGAGGAAGTTTGAAGCTTTAAAAAAAATGAGTTAAAAAGTTCTCGGCTGCCCTTAAGCAATTCAATGTTATTAAAGAGCTAGCTGCCAGAAGAGCTCTACAATAGGATTAATAATTAACCAGCGTTCAGCACCGATGAGCAGAGGTCTCCTTATACCCAGCCAATACGATTTGTATGGGGAATATAAATTCTGTTCCCTACACCAAATTACTTTACCGCTGGAAGCCACAGGAACCACAAAACTCATGTATAAGTCTAGTGGCTTTTAGAAGATTTGAGGTTATAGCTCTGCACCCGTGACCCCCTATTTTCTTAAGTATCAGAAATGCAACTAAGCAGGGAAGGTTCCCTTCAACAGACTTGCTTGTTGAGAAGTTCTGATGTTTCAGATGCTCTATATTTATAGTATACCCTCTGTATTCCAAGTGATCAGGCTTTCTAGCATATTGGCAGCATTTTGGAGAGTTTATTAATTGGCGAATTTTTGTATGTAATTTTGCATTTGTATGCTATATATGAAGGTGGCGAGCGAGCAAAACTATTCATGTCTGAGCAAAAAAAAATGTTGTGGTCCTCCGCCATTTGGATT